CGACATACCTCACAACGTTTAAAATATTATTGAATTAAATTATGAGGAAAAAATTCAAAATAAAATTTAAATTAGTTATACCCAAACCAAACTATAACCATATTTTCCTTTTGTTACCAACTTTACTAAAAAAATAATTATATTGAAGAAAGTATTTGGTATTTTAAATAACCAGAGCTAACCTAAAATTAATACAAAACATCGTCGAAAAATTAAAACCGTCAAAGAACTCTTTTTAAATACTTTAAAATCTAATACAGATATTAATATCAAATTCGCAAAGGTGTCCAATTACATTTTACATATATTCTGAAAATTTTAATGGAATGACTACTCTGGTAGCCGTGCCTTGCAACTCCAAATTTCCAAATTATAGAAAACATATATTCGAAAAAGTAATAAAGTTAGTTTCATGAAACTTGGGAGACGTATGTCCAATTACAGGTCCGATATACCCTTGAAGTTTTGGTGGAATGGTTTAACAGGTTTAAGCAGCCAACTTAAAAGAAAATTCAAAATATTCGAAAAAATAATAAAATTAGATTCATAACACTTGGCAGTTGTATGTCCAATTATAGGCCGAATATGCCAGTGGTTTTCTTTAGATAGGTTTAACAAGTTCGAATACTTGGTATACAACAATGAAAGCTTATTCTAGATATTTTAAAACAAATTTTGAAATATCTAGAATAAGCTTTCTAGATATTTCAAAATTTGTTTCTATATATTTCAAAAAAAGAAACGTTTTTATTTGTTGTTTTTATTTACTTAGTTTTTATTTTATTTCATCTTCCTTTTTATTTCCTATTTAGAAATAAATCGCATAACAGCAATGGACTAATTATTATAAATGTTTCATTTAAGCTTAGTGGATGTCACTAAAAAAAAGGGAAACACATACTTTTTCTTTTCTGACGAAAAATTGTACACTATATTGGATGTATACTAACCAAGCAGTGTTCATATACAGAAACAGTAATAGCCATATTATTGTTATTTTGAAATATTCTTAAATTTTACATCAAACAATTTTAAAAATATTTGCAGTTCTGCAGGCTTTATCGATTTACTTTAACGCCTGAAAAAGTCTGCGAAAAGGAGGGGGAGAAAACGGTCGCCTGTGTTTAGTTTTGGAGGCTATTAATTGAAAACGAAAAGTCCGACAAAGCTGTCCGAAAAAAATTTTCGAGCACAGCTTTGCCGCAACAGCTTCCCCATTTTTAAACCCTCAAAAATTACCTCTTGATATTCGATTGAGTACGTATGTTTTGTTTTTTTTTTGTTTATGTTTGAAATAAGTTATGTAAAACTTTTTTGGCTACTTAAACTTATAAACATAAGCAACAATGAAAAAAATAAAAAAAATTCACTCCGTTCTCAACTTTGAGTATAACTTTATTTCATATATGATTTTATCTAGACTGCAGAAAATTTCAAATATCATTATAAGTATATAATATGAATTAAGTTAAAAATGAACGCAGCAGACTTTAGTTTGTGAGTAAAAGGATATAAATACATAACATAAAATGTATGAGCATTGAAAAAAACTGTTTTTTTCGTTTCCTTTTTTGTCATGCTTTTTATACCCTGTACCTTCGTAATGGGTATAATAACTTTGGTATGGAGGGGGTTTTCGTTTACTCAGTTCTAGAATAGTTCTAACTTGTAGTACGTTCAAAAATTCACGAAATTACTGGCTGCAATAAAATATATTCGGAAATTCCATCTGCAATAAAGAAATGTTAGAAATGTGGCGCAGACCTCTGGTATAAATTTTGTCGCTGCCTTATGAAATTTTTTTTTCTTTTTTAATTTAAAATTCAAAAACAAATTTTAAATTTCCAAATGGCAGATTCAGATATTGATGGGTGTTAAAGTAAGTTTCCTTTAAGTCTTCAAATCTTGTTAAAATTTCCTTATTTTCCAGTGAATTGGAAGGCGAAAAGTATTGGGATATAATTTCATAAACAATGTCATTTATGTTATTTTCGAACGACAGATTATTTAGAAGTTTCAGTATTTGAAAACTGCGTAAACAAAAAAAGCTTAGCTAAAGTTTTTGCATACTGTTTGAAGCTACAACTTAGAAATTTTAGTTCTGATGTAGAACTTTCAGCGCAGCGTGCATAAACGAAAACCTCCGAAGTTTGTAACCACTTCAAGGAGTCGTCTTCGGTATGCACATGTACATATATTTTTGCTGAGCTTACGCTCATTTCTGCGACCGCCCATCCGTCCGAGCGCACAAGAACTCAAAAACGAATTAAGCAAATACGATCAAACTTTCACAAGTTTCTCTTTTTGTTGCTATTGGACCAATAGCAACTGACATAACGTTTTTCACGATTTCATCACACGAATATACTTTGTTCTTTTATATTTTTTACATAAAAAAGTATGTTCAATATTTACACTGTTTTTCTGAATCGAATCAATTTTCCTTGGACTCTATATCAATCTTGAATTTTTGTATCAAACTCATCGTTCTATAAAGTGACACATCATAAACTAACTTTAGAATTTACAATTTTTTTTTTTTGGATCGAGAGGAAAGGTGAAAAATCTCGAAGAACTCTGCCAGACGAAAAGCAGTAATGTGGAACTTTAATCCATTAAAAAACACCCTCCTCAAAATAAATTATAGAACTAGTCGGAAACGACTAACCATAAATTTTGCTCTAACCTTTTTGATTATTTGCAAGCTTTTGATCTGGCACAATAGCGTACTAAGTACATATTGTTCCAGATAAAAAACATCAAACTTACTCGAGAGGTCTCGTACGTTTAAGTCTCCTAACAAAGTTTTGATTGTCAACCAATCGAGCCGCCTCGATGTTGACATGATTGAATAAAAGCATTTTATGATTGGCTGCTTGCTTTTTAAGTTCGTCTGTGGCACTTAGGGTCGTGAGATCCCTTTGTATATTGGCATTGCGGACATACCTTTTTGAAATCTTTGAATAAATTGGATATGAGTCTGCGCAGCGCAGCCCTATAACTGAATACCCTAAGCCCAGACAAGCTTAAATATTTGATTATATATCAAAACTTTGTTGTATATTGTCAACTTAAAACGCCTTCTCAAAAGCCATTCAAATTTTCTGTATTCCTCCTCAAGTGGAGACCACTTTTTCTTTATGTACTCCTTCCATCTGAGCTTTGAGTCCAACGTCATTCCCAAATACTTTATCAAGACGCCATTTATGCGAACCGTAAATGAATTGTCTATTTTCTTATTAGTGAAATTCACGTGAACTGATTTCACCTCGTTAAGATCACGCGTTTGCTGCCACCTCTTTCTCGCCCGTCTGCTTTGTCTTACTTTTGTTAGTATATGTGGGGGATAGCTAATGCCTCCCCTCCTAATAGCATTAATTTTCGAACTACTCCAAGCCGCAATTTGAATAATTTTAGTAAAGTTTTCGGCCACCTCATCTATGTGCTGGGTTGTTCCTATTCTTTTCCTTAGATCTATTTGTCGTTCAATCTCTAAGCGAAATCTTGACCAATCTGTAGCCCTATTTGTCAGCGCAGGGTTTACTCTTTTCTTTACAATATTTTCCTTAAGTTCAAGAATAACCACTGAATGATCAGAGATTAAGATCATAGTTATCATGTACCTCGATGAAATTTTTCGCAATCCGTTTTGTTATGAAGAAATCTATTAAATCTGGACACTTATTAACATCAGTTGGCCAAAACGTTGGCTTCACAGTAGAGTGAAAAAGGCACCGCCAATGGCTGTCCTAAGTTCTCTTCCTCTAGTTGAAGCATGCCTCGAACCTCAATCAGTGTACTTGGCGTTAAAGTCATCCCCCAACATAAATCTGTCCTGGGATTAAGTCGCCCAGAACGTTCTGAAACATATCTGTCGTTATTTTAAATCTGGGATGACAATACAATGCAACTACTCTAAATATTTGCTAAGTCGAAGTGATCTGAACTGCCGTCATTTGCATTCCCTCGGTTTGCATCTGGTGCAGATCGCAATGCACTATATTTTCTTTTATTATTCCGCCTTTCGCTATATTTCCAGAGTGGTTCGAGTTGTACATTCTAAAACTTCAATGTCCTTTTTATTTGCAATATCATTGCAATTCCATGTTGTTATTTTAAAATTATCTCGTGCCATCATTTACCAGGTCCTTTGGTATTCGATTTTTTCCTTTCGCTCTCTAAAATGCTCATTCTCTGAGAGATTTTGTCCATCATATCTAGCATGTTCTGCATCATATTTTGCATTTTATACAAAACATTCACGTCACTGGCCCTTGCTTTATTGCTCGTGCTACCGTCATCAGTTTTCGTTTGGAGATCTTCCTTGCATGTTACATCTTTTGAGACTATTCTCGAGGTAAATTGCCTCGGTGGCTAGTCAGAATTCTTCTTCAAGTTGTTGCTGTTCCATAGCTACAAGACATCCCCTATAGTTTACTGGGTGGGCCTCCAAGCAATTGGAACACTTTGCTGCAGTACTATGTTACCTACTTTTTGGGAGGTGAGAGTCGGATTTGTTGGCAGAGCTGATGTTTTCACAGGGCATTTCCCAGCATTTTCAGCTTCACATGTTAGTAAAATGTGAAACCCACTAGGACCCTTTCTCTCCCAAGCGTTCTTCTCAAGAAGTTACAATCTAACAAAATTTTCTTTCAAGATTCAAACTTTGACTTGGCGTTACTGGTAAACCGCCTTAATTTTTTTTAATATACCTACGTGATTGAGAATAAAAGTTTTGTTTTTTAATTTTCTTTTCCTTTGACATCTGATGAAACTTTAGTGCTACTAATCATGAATGAGATGCAATTATATTACCAAATGATGAGTTTGAAATTATTAATTTTCAATACGTTCTAAAAAATTTCTTCTGTGTTTTCTCTGTTTAGAAAAAACTTTAAAATTATTACATTAGATTCAAAATTATTATTACATTATATGTATAGTATATTATACATACGAGTACCAAGAAAATTGAGCTAATTTTTTTTCAATTTTTTTAGCATTAGCAAATTTTACCGGACTGCAAATTTGTTATTTTCCTCACCTCTTTCAAGAGCTACACCTTTTTTGATTGGAATTGGAGCTGCTATACTTCACAAAAGATTAAAGAAAACGTTTGAAGATTTATCACAAATTGGATTGATATGCGGATGGTTTACAGCAATTGCTTCACTTATTTACTGTTATTGGTATCCATATTCAGCGATTCGTTTAGATTATATTTATAACTCAACCGACGCAGCTTCGTACGCTTCATGGTCTCCTTTAGTATTGGGATTAATCATGACTTGGATAATATATATAATTTCATGCTATACATGTAATGAAAGTAGAATTCACCGTTATAAAATTTTAAAGTCAAAGCCTATTTTGATTTTAAGTAGAATCATCTATCCTACGCAATTAATTATGTATGTTACGGTATTATATTTTACAGCCCAACAAAAGGAACCACGTCCATATTCTGCCACCGATCTTGTAATTTTGAATAAATCGTTATTACTTTTAAAGTAATTTTTTTTTTATTGTAGATTAGTTTTTCTGAGATTGGTATAATCATTTTATATGCTATCGTAGTTGCGATTTTCGTTGACATACCAATGCAAAAAGTTTCCAAACTATTAGTCAATGAAATATTCCCCGATAAATCGCCATACCCTTCTAGTAACAAAGAAACAAAGGCAAATGAAACTGAGATAAACATTCAAGTAAAACAAAAATTGGTTAATGATGAATCTAGTAATAATGAACACGAAAGTGAAAGTGTTGAAACTGAACTAAATGATAAGCAAAAGCGAGAACAAATTAACGAAGAGTCCAATTACAATGAGTACGAAGTAAAAACTGCTGGAATGGAATTGAACAATCAACAAAAGGATGAAAGAATTCATGAAAGGTCTAATTATCATGTTGAGTTAGAAGCTGAAGGTGACTCTTTCACAGAAAAAGAAACGCAAAATTTAACCCAAAGGTAAACATAGATGAAATTTTATATTTTATTTTAAAAAAACAAAAAAAAGTTGAAGGATGAATTTTAACCAACAGATTTTAAAAATATTAAAAGGTATCGAAGCTTTATCATTTACATTTTATCAAGGTTAAATAAAAAATTATATCAAGATACGAAGATCCGAAATAATAAAAAAAACTTGAACTTTCGATTTAACTTGATCAGTGGCTGATTTTACTTGTGATGCAATTTATCAAAGTTAATCTAAATTTTTTCAATAAGACTATTGACCGTATATTTCGCAAAATTCTGAAAACTTTTTTTAATACTTCGAACTTAACTGTAATTTAAGTTTATAACTTGTTAGAACATTAACATCTATTTATAACATTTAGAACTTGTTTGTTGAGATACTTGAATGATAACTAGAAATTTATTCGAACTTTTTATACCCTGCACTTCGTGAAGGGTATATTAACTTTGGTATGGAGTTTGTAACTACGTGAAGGAGTCATCTGCGGTATGGACATATATATATATTCTTGCTCAGCCTAAAATTCTGCGTTGATTTAGACATGTCCGTCCGTCCGTCCGTCCGATCGCACGATAACTCAAAAACGAATTATGCAATCGTAACCAAACTTTCACAAGTTGCTTCTTTTGAGCCAAGGACGAACCCTATTATTATTGGACCAATTCGGAGAGCGGGTTCGGGTAGCTGCCATACAACTCAAAGAGTTTATTTTAATTATTTCAAAAACTAATAAAGGTACAAATATAAAATTTTGTATACATGTGTCCAATTATATTCTATATATGCTCTAAAAATTTTAATGAGATAGCTGCACCGGTTCGGGTGGCTACCATACAACTCCAAAAGCAAATTTTTCATATTCGGCAAAATAATAAAGTCAGATTCATGAAACTTGACAGTCGTGTGTCCAATTATAGGTCAAATATATTTCTGAACTTTTGGTGGAATTGCTTGACAGGTTCGAGTAGCTCCCATACAAGTTCAAAAGCTTATTTTAAATATTTGGAAAAATAATAAAGTCAGATTCATGAAACTTTGCAGTTGTGTGTCCAATTATAGGTCAAAGATATTTCTGAAGTTTTGGTGGAATTGCTTGACATCTTCGAGTAGCTCCCATACAAGTCCAAAAGCTTACTTTAAATATTTGAAAAAATAAAAAAGTTAGATTCATGAAACTTGGCAGTTGTGTGTCCAATTATAGATCATATATACCTGCGAAGTTTTAGTGGAATTGCTTGACAGGTTCGGGTACCTGCCATACAACTCCAAAAGCTAATTTTAAATATTTGGAAAAATAATAAAGTCAAATTCATGAAACTTGGCAGTTGTGTGTTCAATTATAGATCAGATATATTTGCGAAGTTTTAGTGGAATTGCTTGGCAGGTTCGGGTACCTGCCATACAACTCCAAAAGCTAATTTTAAATATTTGGAAAAATAATAAAGACAGATTCATGAAACTTGGCAGTTGTGTGTCCAATTATAGGTCAAAGATATTTCTGAAGTTTTGGTGGAATTGCTTGATAGGTTCGAGTGGCTCTCATACAAGTCCAAAAGCTTATTTTAAATATTTGGAAAAGTAATAAAGTTAGATTCATGAAACTTGGCAGTTGTGTGTCCAATTATAGATCAGATATATCAGCGAAGTTTTAGTGGAATTGCTTGACAGGTTCGGGTACCTGCCATACAACTCCAAAAGCTAATTTTAAATATTTGGAAAAATAAGAAAGTCAAATTCATGAAACTTGGCAGTTGTGTGTTCAATTATAGATCAGATATATTTGCGAAGTTTTAGTGGAATTGCTTGGCAGGTTCGGGTACCTGCCATACAACTCCAAAAGCTAATTTTAAATATTTGGAAAAATAATAAAGTCAAATTCATGAAACTTGGCAGTTGTGTGTTCAATTATAGATCAGATATATTTGCGAAGTTTTAGTGGAATTGCTTGGCAGGTTCGGGTACCTGCCATACAACTCCAAAAGCTAATTTTAAATATTTGGAAAAATAATAAAGTCAAATTCATGAAACTTGGTAGTTGTGTGTTCAGTTATAGGTCAGACATATCCGTGAAGTTTCTATAGAATGGTTTCACAGGTTTGAATAATTGCTATACAACAATGAAAGGTGCAGGGTATAATTCAATCGGTTCATACCGACTAAAACGTTTTTACTTGTTAATTTTACCCTTGCTCATTAAATTTACATAACCAGAATAACTACGATAGCTATAATAACAAACTAGCAAGAGATGTATTGTTTTTATTTGGGATAAAGAGTACGACAAAGAAGTTTTTGAGTGTACGTCTTTCTCCTTGACTTTTCCAATTATTTTGTTGGGGAAAAAATATTTGGTTATGAAATTTCGAAAAGCTTAGTAATTTTTTTTTCAAAAGTTTTTTATTAAGACCTATTTTCTTACAAAAAAATTTTTAATTTGCGCTATAATTATACTTTAAAAAAATTGTGTACCTACGAGTACCTACCTTCTCTCCAATAGAATAAATGATTTTAAAAATTTACAAAATGACGTTTTTCACAGCGATATATTTTATACTCCTAAACCTATATATGTAAATATAAACATTTGTTTATATTTTTAAAGGAAAGTGAAAAATTTAACAGTTTTATAATTTTAGTTTAATTCAACTTTAATTCACTTCTTATTTTAAAAAAAATTTGTTCATTCATTCTATTGTTTAATGTATTGTGCACGTTTCATTTTTTTGGAGAGATAAACTATTAACCAGTAAATAAAAAATTGGAAAAATAAAGTAGTAACCAGAAAGTCGGTATAAACCGACTGAATTATGCCCTCCACCTTGCCAACCTGAGTTTAAAACTTGTTATTGAAATACCTGGCTTTAACTGTTGTATACCAAGTACTCGAACCTGTCAAAACACTTTATAGAGCCTGCACGGCTCTATGCCTGATCTATAATTGGACACACAACTGCCAGATTTCATGAACCTAACTTTATTACTTTTTCGAATATTTTAAGTTTGCTTTTAGAGTTGTGTGGCAGCCACCAAACCTGTTAAGCCATTTCACCAAAACCTCAGGAACATATGTGATCCGAAATTGAGCACATAGCTAACAATTTTCATGAATATGACTTTATTATTATACTATATTATATACGAGTATTTAAAATTAGCTTTTGGACTTGTATGGCACCTACCCGAACCTGTCAAGCCATTCCACCAAAACCTCAGGAATATGTGTGGACTGTAATTGGACAACCGACGGCCAAGTCTTATGAATCTAACTTTATTATTTCCCCAAATATTTAAAATTAGCTTTTGCAGTTGTATGCCAGCTACCCGAACCCGTTGGACGAATTGGTCGAATTACAATAGCAGCCGTCGTTAGCACAAAAAAAACTTGTGAAAGTTTGGCGTCGATTATTCGTTTTTGAGTTATCTTGGGATCGGACGGACGGACATGGCTAAATCAGCGCAGAATTTTGGCTCATCAAGAATATATATACTTGTACATGTTGAAATATTTTTCCTTAATGAAAGTCGATAAAAAATGGTTAAATTACACTGTTCCTAAATTTTTTTGGGTTTCCTCCTATTTTTAATTGGGTTTTGGGTACGTTGGTTTATTCTTGTAATCGATTTTGGGCTCGAAATTTTTTCTTTTTCATTAATTTTTATTTTAAGTAATAGTGACATTTTCAGAAATACCTATATCGTTGTTATTAGTTTCTTCCAAACGATCGTGTTCAAGAATATGTAACGCTTCATATTTTCGTCGGCTTCTAGATATAATATTTCTCCTTCTAAACTCATTTTTTCCAAACCTAATAAATTAATAATTTATGTTACTAATGCATTAGATATGTAGGGATGATATATATGTATATTTCATTTTATATTTTGAAAACTATTCTTTGTAAGGAGGAAATTTAAAAATATTCAGTATAGCAATACTGTATAGGTAAGTATACCGTCCCGAATCGGTTTCTGCATTTCACATAGTTCAATTACGTTATCATCATCAGATTCATCAATATCTGAATTTAATAAATATTCCATCATTTCTTCGTTTTATTTTTTATTTATTATCTACACATAAATTTCAACTTATAATTAAATTATAATGAACTTGAGATACAAGCGTACACACACAGACCGACAGACCGACAGGTTGCTAAAAATTGTTTATTTACAGTTCCCTACTATAGAGAAGTGCATTCCCACCGAAAACTCGATATGTAAAATTTGTTGCCATCACATAACCTACCTATTGTATACACAATACGGTCGGTAATTAGAACCTTCTTATAAAATTAAGTCCAATAATCGATCTCCGTCTCTCGTTTTCCATCTTTTGGCGATTTTATTATAGCAATATACACAAAATTACACATTTAGATATATACTTATGTACATATGAATAAAAATGGTATAATTCATAAATAAGTTATTTTATAACACGTTTTTATATTTTAGAGAGATTCAAGACTCAAATTCTGATATTGCAAAAGATAACACTTCAAATGAAAATTATGCTGAAAAAAGTGAATATGAGGAAGATGATCCTAATATAAACGAGGAAGCCGAATAACTTTCAATTAGTGCATAATTAATAAGAAAATAATTTAAGGATTGTAATTTGACTTCAAAAAATAATCTTGTAACAAAATATTGCATGATATGTAATCTCAAAAGACAAAACAAACATACATAGCTTTAGGCATGAAATAATATTTTCAAGTTTGATTTATTTGTTTTAATAATTTCAGTTGATAAGTTTATAAATTACAATAAAACATAAAGAACTTTTGTTTCATTTTTAGCAAAATGAAAAAGACCGTCAAATAGTACCTTGCTAATTAACTTTACAAGAAAATATCTCTGATATTGCAGAAGGTCACATTCTAATACATCATAAATCACTAAAGAGAAAAATATTACATGTCATCGTTTAGAACCATGTTTCTCAACGAGCTCCATATGGCTCTCATCGGGCTACAGCGCGTTTTAAAGCTGATTTTCCCTGTTATAGTACCTCAAATATACAAAAAAAACTTAGAAAGTATATTAAACATTTAAAATAAAGAAAAAGTAAAAAACAAGTATTTTAATTTAAATAGAAACAAGTAAAAACGTTTCAGTCGGTATAAACTGACTGAATAATACCCTGAACTTTCACAATCTAAGTTTAAAAATTTGTTTTTGAAATATTTGGAAATAACTTTGATTGCTAAATGGCAATTACTTGAACCTGTCAAACCACTTAATAGAATCTTCATGGATATTATGTCTGACCTGCAAGTGAACACACGACTTTATGAATCTTTTATTTTTCCAAATATTTAAAATTAACTTTTGGAGTTGTATGGCAGCTACCCGAACCCGTTGTCCGAATTGATCGAATTACAATAGCAGCCGTCGTTAGCATAAAAAAAAACTTTGGTGTTGATTGCAATGTTCGTTTTTGAGTTACCGTGCGATCGGACGGACGGACGGACATGTCTAAATTGACGCAGAATTTTACGTTTAGCCAAATATATATATATATCCGTACCAGAAACGACTCCCTCAAGTGGTTACAAACTCCATACCAAAGTTAATATACCCTTCACAAGGTGCAGGGTATAAAAAAGGCAATATTTTTATGACAATTAATACTTGCAAATAACGATAGATTATGTTGTGTTAACACCACAGCTGACAGTAATACATACCTGGACCCTATGAGAGAGTGACAGTTCACAGCTGACGAATTTAAACGTATTTTTATGGGATCTATACAGGGCCCTTTTTAACATTATGAATCAAATTTTTAATTAGAAAAATTTAAAATTCAATATTTTTCTACTTTACTAGTGCTTACATTCTTGAAGCTTTGTGATATTAAAACATTAGAAAATTGATTTAAAAAAAAACTTTAAAGTTCTGTTAATTTTTTTAAGATTTCAATAAACACTACACTACAGAAAAAAATAGTGCAATTTTTTTTTCGAAATATTTTAGTTGATTTTGGTGTATTTTTTCACATTTGAGAATTTAAAACATTTAACAAGTTTACTAATTTTATATGATATGTTTCCCAAAATGCATATTTCTTATATAATCACATATACATACATATGTATTTTGCATGTGTATACTATATTTATTATATTTATATGTTTCATTAATGCCTTTACATCTAACAAGTCCCAGCACTCAACTTTTTTTACGAAATATTACGAATTTTTGGCTTCGTTCCTGTTTTTTCTTTAAATGCCACTGATCGTGCCATATTTCTTATTATTTTTTTCTTTTTTTTACGTAAAAAAAAGTTTAATATTTTAAAAAATCTCAGGATATTATACACATTTTTTAAAAAGCTTCCCATTTAAATTCTATTGCACGCAAAAGAAAGAAAGGTAGGAGAAAAGAAAAAATGAAAAAAAAAATTGAAATTCATATTTCAGTATGGTTTCAAATGTTAATGAGGAAGGATGTATGATTTTTCATGCACATTTTGTATTTCCCAATAAGGTAAGTTGAGTAGTGTCGGCTAAGAAAAATTTTAGTAAAAGTAATATAGGTTGACACATTTCAACAATTTGAATTATCTCATTTCGGTTATTTATACGTTACTTATAAAATTGTTTCAAATAATTTCAGTTAGTTTTCAAGTTATTCCCCTCTATTATGAACATCGGTATCGGCCGATATATTATCGGCAGTTCTAATCGGTTTTAGGTTTCTTCTGTATTATGAACCGATACCGATAAAAATATTTCAACCGATTAAAAGAAGCTTTTTCATACAAATTTTTGTTTTTGAAAATTGGAGAAAAAGTTTTTTTTTCTAATGACATTTGTTTTCTTTCAAAAGTTATTTTCAAAAAATTTTTAAAACTATTTTGAATTTGGTTTTGATGTGCTAAAAAGTTGTTGCAAGCAAATTATTTTCTGTTAAGTTTGTAAAATAAAAATATACATATATCGGGAAAATGTCGCGTGCATTATATTTTGAAAGTGAAGAAACGGTAGTAAGTGAAGAAACGCAAGCTATTCCAAGACGACATATAAGAGATTCAACTAATCCATTGGATTTAGACAACAAAATGTATGTTTATGTACCTATTTTATTTTATTATTTATATAATATGTACACATTTTTTAGGTTTATCCAGAATTTCAGATTATCATTCCTTGCCAGGTTTAAGTCCTCTTCCATTTTTTTTACTAACCGCGCAATTTGTTTTTTGTTGCTTACGATTTTACTCCTAAATAAAATATATGAATAATATTTTGAAAGAAAATAATTTAAAAAAAATGCTTACATTTTAAAAAAGCAATTAATTACACCAGTTTCCTTGATAAAATGAAGATTTTACAAAAAAAAAAATCTGTCGTCTCAAAATTTGTACCCGCTTTTAAATCGGTGAAAACCGACAATTTATCGTTTTCATAATACCAGCTAATACGTTTCCTATACAGGGAAAAAAAGCTTTCCCAACTCCGATAAAATTTACCGATAAACAATGTTGGTAATACAAACACAAAATTTTGCCGAAAAATTATCGTTTATCGGCCGATACCGATATACATAATAGAGGGGATTAAAAATAAATATGTATGTATCTACTTCCAATCAATTTTTTTAAATAATTATTTAATAAAGTTGGGTCAAACCAATGGTTTGTATTGTAGCACTTTTCCCTTCAACAAGTGAAAATACTGCTTTTAAAAACAGTCTATGTATATCCACCACACTATTAAAATTATTTTCATTTATAAACGAAACTATTTCTAGCATTGCATATATTTAGGATGAACCATTTATGCAGTCTTTGAAATAAAGCAAAAATTAATATAAACAGGGGTTAACATAACTACTTGTTAATGTATAAAAGCCCCTAAAATTTCAAGCTTCTACAGTCTGGGGTCTAGAAGAAAAACGACATCAAAAATTTGGAAAAAAAGGACTGTAGATAACGGTAAATTTGAAGGGCCATTTTGTTTTTCTTAAGTTGAACTATAGTATACCGCGCAAGGGGAAGCAAGCCACTGCCTTTCTGCGTTTGCAAAATTTCAAAAATGCTTATGGTTTCATTGCAACAAATATTTAAAATAGGCCATTTTTAGTGCTTTGGGGGGTAATAACTTCTGGAGGGGGGGAGATAGGTAAAAATTTTGTTCTACAAAAATAAGTTTCTAGTAAAGATCTATGTACATATTAAATTTCAGCTTTCTATCTTTAAGAATGTAGAAGTTTTGTAAACAGACACACGGACAGACGGACGGACGGACGGACGGACAGAGTGAAACTAATAAGCACTTTTTTTCAAAAATTTTTTGGAAAAGTGCTAAAAACTATTTCAAACATGTTATATTAAGTGCTTCAAAAATTCTGTTGTGCCTGTGTGTGAATCATAATAGTAAACGCAAACGGACAAAAATTTACGGATATCATTACCTACTACCTGTCATTTTACAATCGGAGTTTTGCAATCATTTGCTTAGATACTATCTATTTCAAAAATAAAAAAGATATTCGAATCCGGTCGCAAAAATATATTATAGTCTTTATAAGCAAAAAAATATTTAAAATGTTTTGGAAAAGAAAACCATATATTATTACAAACATGGCCAAACTGCGGCTCGCGAGCCGCATGTGGCTCTTCAACCAATTTCATGCGGCTCTCGAAGAAAAATTAACAAATATTTTTAGTGCAGCTCAAGTCGAAAAAAAATATTCCCAAAAAAAATTTTTTTATAGAAATTTGACTGAAAGTAAAAACAGTAGAGTAGTATAGCTTAGACTTTAGAGTATAGCTTTTCCCACACTTTTTAATTTTGTCAACGCTTACTTAACGTATGGAAAAATAATTTGTATATATTGGTAAATTCTTAAACGTCAAATTTTACAAAATCTGAGTTGTCTGAGTTTCCGAATACTCTACGTTTTTATATTACAAATTATAAGCCAGATTTTCAGAAATTTGCAATACAAACCAAGCCACATGCATCAACCAGTAAAGTATAAAAATATCATATTTTTTTTCTTTAATTCTAACTCTTTTTTATTTGTAGGACTAAGACATTTTCAGCCAGATATTACATAATATATCATTTATATCAATGCGGCTCAAAAAAAATTCAAGATTTTGAGTTTTGGCTCTTACCATGACCAAGTCTGGCCACCCCTGTATTATTATGACCGGATTTGAATTTGTTTTATTTGTGAAATAAATAGTATCTCAGCAAATTACTTAAAAATTCCGATTGTAAAATGACAGGTACTAGGTAATGATTTAAATTTTTTTCCGTTTGCGCTTACTATTAGGACAGGTCATTTATGCACAGGCAGGGCCATTTTATAAATACTCTTGTTTACCTGCTATGAAACAAGACTTCAAATAAATTTTGAAAGCACTCAATATAACTTTGTCTTATGTTTAGTGTCTATAATTTTACTTTTTAGCACTTTTCCAAAAAATTTTTGAAAAAAAGTGCTTATTAGTTTCACTCTGTCCGTCCGTCCGTCCGTGGACACTTTTTTTGTTTACAAAACTTCTACACCCTTGAAAATAGAAAGCTGAAATTGAACATGTACGTAGATCTTTACTAGAAACTTATTTCTGTATAACAAAATTTTTAGCTGTCTCCCCCACTCTAGAAGTTATACCCTCCCAAAATCCTAAAAATGGCCTTTTTTAACTATTTGTTGCAATGAAACCGTAAGCATTTTTTTGCAAACCCAGAAAGGCAGTGGCTTACTTCTCCTAGCGCGGTATACTATAGTTAAACTTTAGAAAAACAAAATGACCGTTC